TTATATCACACAATTCTGACTTTATATCTCGCAATTCTGACTTTATAACTCGCAATTGCCACTTTATATCACGCAATTCTGAGAAATAAAGTCAGAATTTTGAGATATAAACTCGCAATTGTGAGAAAAAAAGTCAGAATTGTGAGAAAAAAAAGTCAGAATTGTAAGATAAAAAGTCACAATTCTTTATTATATTTTTTATTCAATGGCGGAAACAAGCTTCCATAGATTTTGCAAGCTCTTGGTAGTTTAAAAAAACAAGATATCAATACACTAATTTGATAATATTGCCTATATATATAGAATAAAATATAGTAAACAATTTTAACAATTAAACTGAAAATAAAAAAGTTACCAATGTACAAAAACCAATACATGCAAAAGTGTGCAGTGTTCATTCATGTCACAAGATGAAGTAATAAAAACATTTTCTTGTCGCTACATTTGAACGATTTTTATTATTCAAGTAAATATTTCAGTAATGTTAATCACAATAATTGTAATTATAATCTAAAGATTGCAAGAAATCTCACACAAATGAACATGAACATTTTTGAGTAAACAACAAAGAACAATAGATTTCCAAAGTATCACTTTTAATTATTAATAGAATTAATACACGCACTATTTTAAGTAGTAAAACAGCAGCAGCAAATTTTAGCTTGTGACACAGATCAGTCATGCGTGTGTGTTCATGACTTCGGCATGTTTAGAGCTGCATATTCAGCGTACTGAAAGAACAATGAGGGAAACAGTACTTCAGTGGGAGTTGTTGCTGAACCAAAATTAATTTCAAACTCTAAACAATAAGTTTGTTGAAATACAATAAGTCAGCAAGATTCTCAATAATGATCAAGACAGAAATAAATTTGAGTTCAAATGATGGTTTGCAATATTTCACCTGTAACTGGTCCTGATGCTCTTCGATAACTCGCGTCTGCTGTAGATCAGAGTTGTGATCGTTCTGCAGACCTTCTGTTTCCAACAAAAAAACCTTTAATACTCCTAAAAATAAAACATCAAAATCAGATTCAATATTCACCAAAGGTTGTATTATTCTTTCTTAAAATATAAAGTCATATGTCAGTACACAAAACTGCCAAACTAACTGCTCAATAGTCAAAATAAACAATTCTAAACAAAAAAAAAAACTTTTACACAATAACTAAATTGCCACCTGTCAGTTGAGAGGAGAATCATATTGATATTTTTTACAAATTACATATTTAATTTTCTAAACTAAAGAAGAGTCACTCACCGATCAGCACAATGAGCAGAAGCCCGTTCATCAGTCCAGATATGATGATAATAATCTGACTTTGTTTCTGATTCTGATCAATAAACTCCACCGCTGTATGATTGTGACATTCGGTTATTTGAGTTGATTTTGAAAAGAAAGTGTTCATAATTACAGTAACAGTCTGGAGCACAACTGCAGTTTTAAACATCTGAATACATCTAGCTTATAATATATTCAAATGTGTGTAATGACCAATGAAAATTAATAATTATGTTTTTTATGTGTAAAAAATCTTCATGTGTAAAAAATTATGATCAATAGAGGAGTAAATGAACTCACCGTTGAAGGTCAGTCTAGTGCCGTTGCTGAGTTTTGGAGGAGTGCGTGTGTTCATACAGTAATAAACTCCTAATTCATCAGCGGTCACATTATTAATAAACAGATGGTGTTTAAATTGCAGTGAATATTTCTTTCTGAGTGTTTTATTAAAGTAATAAGGTTCTGACGTGGATGGTGTTAACCATAGAATCACTTTTGGAGGATCTGGTGTTTTCAGCAAAATCCAATAAACGTCATTTTCATCAAGATCACAGTTTATGGTCACATTTGATCCCAGATCAGTGAGTTGATCTGAGACGGCAGTTTGAAAACAGATGAACACACCTGTAAGATAGAAAATACAATAGCATTATAATTAAGATAACTGTATACCTATAATGAAACAATTAATGACAAAGCAAATAAATTTATTTAAACTCACAGAGCTGAAGCTGAACGATCTTCATGTTGTGGAGATGAAAACACTTCAGAATGATTCTGCTTCCCTCTACACAACATTAAGATGAATCTACTGCAGCTCTGAAGAAAACACAGGAAGACGAAAAACCGTCCACATCGAGCGACTACAACACATACTCTGACCACAACACCTAAAGCTCATTATCACTTCTCACAATTATTTTGTGCTTTACTAACCACTGGTTTCATAAGACCAATTTGATATTGTTTTTCGGGTATAATTTTCGGGTTATGGTTGGGTTAAGGTCACTATTCGGGTTTCTGAGACATTAGGAATAACCGTTTACATGCGTGAGCAGAGAGATTTTCTCCTGTACACATGGAATTGCAATATCCCGATGTAACCGGCGACGCGCGGTTAGCGTCTAGACATACAGACAACCTTAAAGGGTTAGTTCACCCAAAAATGAAAATTCTGTCAGTATTTACTCACCCTCATGTTGTTCCAACCCCGTAAGACCTTCGTTCATCTTCGGAACACAAATTAAGATATTTAAGATATTAAGATCGCTCCTGCATACTAGTCCATAAGCTTCTTGAGGGAATGACACTTGCTGGCCTCGAAAAGTCATTAAAGACATCGTTAAAATAGTGCAAGTGACTACAGTGGCTCAATCTTAAAGGAGAACTCCGCGCAAAATGAACCTTTGGTCTAATTACACATTGTTACCTAGTCAACCGTTATCTGAGATTTGTTAAATGTAAATAGTTTTATCTCTAAAAACAGTTTAGCCTAAAACGCTAGTATAACGCTAGTATATAGTGCATAGAGTAAAATAAAAATTGCTTGTAATTATCACTAACACGGCTCAAAATAGCCCCACACAAACACGACAGCATAATAAGGGTTGTGTATTTAATTGGTGAGTTTGTTTAATGAGTTTGGTAATTAATGAAGTATATAAATAGGGAGCTGAACTCGTTTCCAAACATACCCATGGCGTGTCCTTTCATAAATGAGGTGTTGGATGAGGGAGCTATAGTCTTGAGCTATAGAGGGAGGCTATAGTAAACTGTAATACATTTTTGAAAGTAAGGCATACAAAGCAAAGTGAGTGACTGTAGTCAGTGAGTCATTGTAGTAAACAAGTAATCTGTAAAACATTTAAGTTTAAAAACTAAACTCAGCTCAGCTCTGACTTCACAAAGACTGCAGTGTGAATGTTCATTTCATAATTTCTTTTCACTTTTTATTTGGCCATATGTGGGCCTATATACGGCTATGTAAAAGTGTTGCACGGCTATGAGAAAGGGCCACCTCAAAATGTACTCTCTCTCTCTATCTGTTGCTCATGATTCAGTAGCTTCTCTTCATATGATATGTTGCAGGCCCCTGGCCTAGGTTCATGTGAAACTGCTTTGAAATATGCAGACTAACTGCAGTCTTATTTAATACAAACTTTCAACCTCAAATGTGCTTTTCATGTTACAACACAGTTGTCTAATGCTCTGGATATTAATTGATCTAGATATTCAGACAAAGAGCCATCTAAACCCCAGCGGACGTACTGCAGCGCTGTTGTTTCCACTTGAGGTTTAGACAACTGTGAGAACTGAGATACATGAATATATAAAGGTATTGGGAAAACACTGCGCTCAGTAAACAAGCTCCATTTTGACATTGACATTGTTTTTTGTCATTGGCGACATTGACGTTTGTCATTGGTTGTGACCAAACCAGTGGAACATATTTCTGGTTTCGGTTCAGCACTTCAGTTGAGTTTAACCGCATTGTTTAGCCTTTGAAACCATTTATATAACAAGTATACATGATGATAAAAAAAATAAAGAAGGATGATAAAACTTGCATTATGTTTTTTTTTTTAATACTCTTTCCCATAACCGATAATCACATTATATTCCACAAGACAAAATAATAATTGGATTTACACTAATGATCCGGTGGATTTTTATGGAAGCTTGTTTCCGCCAATGAATGAAAAATATAAAAGGTTATGGAGACTTTTATCTCACAATTCTGATTTTTTTTCTCACAATTGTGAGTTTACTTCTCGCAATTCTGACATTATTTCTCAGAATTGCGAGATGGAAAGTCAGAATTAAGTGTTATAAAGTCAGAATTGCGAGACGTAAACTCGCAATTGTGAGAAAAAAAGTCACACTTCTGTCTTTTTTTCTCAGAATTGCGACTTTATATCACACAATTCTGACTTTATATCTCGCAATTCTGACTTTATATCACACAATTCTGACTTTATATCTCGCAATTCTGACTTTATAACACACAATTCTGACTTTATAACTCGCAATTGCGACTTTATATCACGCAATTCTGAGAAATAAAGTCAGAATTTTGAGATATAAACTCGCAATTGTGAGAAAAAAAGTCAGAATTGTGAGAAAAAAAAAGTCAGAATTGTAAGATAAAAAGTCACAATTCTTTATTATATTTTTTATTCAATGGCGGAAACAAGCTTCCATAGATTTTGCAAGCTCTTGGTAGTTTAAAAAAACAAGATATCAATACACTAATTTGATAATATTGCCTATATATATATATATATATATATATATATATATATATAGAATAAAATATAGTAAACAATTTTAACAATTAAACTGAAAATAAAAAAGTTACCAATGTACAAAAACCAATACATGCAAAAGTGTGCAGTGTTCATTCATGTCAGAGGAAGTAATAAAAACATTTTCTTGTCGCTACATTTGAACGATTTTTATTATTCAAGTAAATATTTCAGTAATGTTAATCATAATAATTGTAATTATAATCTAAAGATTGCAAGAAATCTCACCCAAATGAACATGAACATTTTTGAGTAAACAACAAAGAACAATAGATTTTCAAAGTATCACTTTTAATTATTAACAGAATTAATACACACACTATTTTAAGTAGTAAAACAGCAGCAGCAAATTTTAGTCATACGTTTGTGTTCATGACTTCGGCATGTTTAGAGCTGCATATTCAGCGTACTGAAAGAACAATGAGGGAAACAGTACTTCAGTGGGAGTTGTTGCTGAACCAAAATTAATTTCAAACTCTAAACAATAAGTTTGTTGAAATACAATAAGTCAGCAAGATTCTCAATAATGATCAAGACAGAAATAAATTTGAGTTCAAATGATGGTTTGCAATATTTCACCTGTAACTGGTCCTGATGCTCTTCGATAACTCGCGTCTGCTGTAGATCAGAGTTGTGATCGTTCTTCAGACCTTCTGTTTCCAACAAAAAAACCTTTAATACTCCTAAAAATAAAACATCAAAATCAGATTCAATATTCACCAAAGGTTGTATTATTCTTTCTTAAAATATAAAGTCATATGTCAGTACACAAAACTGCCAAACTAACTGCTCAATAGTCAAAATAAACAATTCTAAACAAAAAAAAAAACTTTTACACAATAACTAAATTGCCACCTGTCAGTTGAGAGGAGAATCATATTGATATTTTTTACAAATTACATATTTAATTTTCTAAACTAAAGAAGAGTCACTCACCGATCAGCACAATGAGCAGAAGCCCGTTCATCAGTCCAGATATGATGATAATAATCTGACTTTGTTTCTGATTCTGATCAATAAACTCCACCGCTGTATGATTGTGACATTCGGTTATTTGAGTTGATTCTGGAAAGAAAGTGTTCATAATTACAGTAACAGTCTGGAGCACGACTGCAGTTTTAAACATCTGAGTATATCTAGCTTATAATATATTCAAATGTGTGTAATGACCAATGAAAATTAATAATTATGTTGTTCATGTGTAAAAAAAAAACTGAAGTAGTGAATAAATAAGTCAATCATGGCACTAACTAATCATCATTATGATCAATAGAGGAGTAAATGAACTCACCGTTGAAGGTCAGTCTGGTGCCGTTGCTGAATTTTGGAGGAGTGTGTGTGTTCATACAGTAATAAACTCCTAATTCATCAGCGGTCACATTATTAATAAACAGATGGTGTTTAAAATGCAGTGAATATTTCTTTCTGAGTGTTTTATTAAAGTAATAAGGTTCTGACGTGGATGGTGTTAACCATAGAATCACTTTTGGAGGATCTGGTGTTTTCAGTAAAATCCAATAAACCTCATTTTCATCAAGATCACAGTTTATGGTCACATTTGATCCCAGATCAGTGATGAGCTGATCTGAGACGGCAGTTTGAAAACAGATGAACACACCTGTAAGACAGAAAATACAACAGCATTATAATTAAGATAACTGTATACCTATAATGAAACAATTAATGACAAAGCAAATAAATTCATTTAAACTCACAGAGCTGAAGCTGAATGATCTTCATGTTGTCGAGATGAAAACACTTCAGAATGATTCTGCTTCCCTCTACACAACATTAAGATGAATCTACTGCAGCTCTGAAGAAAACACAGGAAGACAAAAAACCGTCCACATCGAGCGACTACAACACCTACTCTGACCACAACACCTAATGCTCATTATCACTTCTCACAATTATTTTGTGCTTTAATAACCACTGGTTTCATAAGACCAATTTGATATTGTTTTTCGGGTATAATTTTCGGGTTATGGTTGGGTTAAGGTCACTATTCGGGTTTCTGAAACATTAGGAATAACCGTTTACATGCGTGAGCAGAGAGAGTTTCTCCTGTACACATGGAATTGCAATATCCCATTCCCTACCCTATCGACGCGCGGTTAGCGTCTAGACGTTCAGACAACCTTAAAGGGATAGTTCACCCAAAAATGAAAATTCTGTCAGTATTTACTCACCCTCATGTTGTTCCAACCCCGTAAGACCTTCGTTCATCTTCGGAACACAAATTAAGATATTTAAGATATTAAGATCGCTCCTGCATACTAGTCCATAGGCTTCTTGAGGGAATGACACTTGCTGGCATCGAAAAGTCATTAAAGACATCGTTAAAATAGTGCAAGTGACTACAGGGGCTCAATCTTAAAGGAGAACTCTAGCGCAAAATGAACCTTTGGTCTAATTACACATTGTTACCTAGTCAACCGTTATCTGAGATTTGTTGAATGTACAGTAAATAGTTTTATCTCTAAAAACAGTTTAGCCTAAAACGCTAGTATAACGCTAGTATATAGTGCATAGAGTAAAATAAAAATCGCTTGTTATTACAACTAACAAGGCTCAAAATAGCCCCACACAAACACGACAGCATAATAAGTGTTGTGTATTTAATTGGGGAGTTTGTTTAATGAGTTTGGTAATTAATGAAGTATATAAATAGGGAGCTGAACTCGTTTCCAAACATACCCATGGCGTGTCCTTTCATAAATGAGGTGTTGGATGAGGGAGCTATAGTCTTGAGCTATAGAGGGAGGCTATAGTAAACTGTAATACATTTTTGAAAGTAAGGCATACAAAGCAAAGTGAGTGACTGTAGTCAGTGAGTCATTGTAGTAAACAAGTAATTTGTAAAACATTTAAGTTTAAAAACTAAACTCAGCTCAGCTCTGACTTCACAAAGACTGCAGTGTGAATGTTCATTTCATAATTTCTTTTCACTTTTTATTTGGCCATATGTGGGCCTATATACGGCTATGTAAAAGTGTTGCACGGCTATGAGAAAGGGCCACCTCAAAATGTACTCTCTCTCTCTATCTGTTGCTCATGATTCAGTAGCTTCTCTTCATATGATATGTTGCAGGCCCCTGGCCTAGGTTCATGTGAAACTGCTTTGAAATATGCAGACTAACTGCAGTCTTATTTAATACAAACTTTCAACCTCAAATGTGCTTTTCATGTTACAACACAGTTGTCTAATGCTCTGGATATTAATTGATCAAAATATTTAGACAAAGAGCCATCTAAACCCCAGCGGACGTACCGCAGCGCTGTTGTTTCCACTTGAGGTTTAGACAACTGTGAGAACTGAGATACATGAATATATAAAGGTATTGGGAAAACACTGCGCTCAGTAAACAAGCTCCATTTTGACATTGACATTGTTTTTTGTCATTGGCGACATTGACGTTTGTCATTGGTTGTGACCAAACCAGTGGAACATATTTCTGGTTTCGGTTCAGCACTTCAGTTGAGTTTAACCGCATTGTTTAGCCTTTGAAACCATTTATATATCAAGTATATATGATGATAAAAAAAAATAAAAATAAAGAAGGATGATAAAACTTGCATTATGTTTTTTTTAATACTCTTTCCCATAACCGATATTCACATTATATTCCACAAGACAAAATAATAATTGGATTTACACTAATGATCCGGTGGATTTTTATGGAAGCTTGTTTCCGCCACTGAATGAATTCTGGAAAGTCAGAATTGTGAGATATAGAGTCAGAATTGCGTGATATAAAGTCGCAATTGCGAGATATAAAGTCAGAATTGCGTGATATAAAGTCAGAATTGCGAGATATGAAGTCAGAATTCCGAGTTATAATGTCAGAATTGTGAGTTATAAAGTCAGAATTGCGAGTTATAAAGTCAGAACTGCTAGATATAAAGTCACAATTGCGAGTTATAAAGTCAGAACTGCATGATATAAAGTCAGAATTGTGAGATTTAAACTATTCTGAGGGGGAAAAAAGTTAGCCTTTTTTTCCCCCTTAGAATTGGCCTAATAAGTCGCAATTGCGAGTTTATATCTCACAATTCTGAGAAAAGATGTCAGAATTTCGACATATAAACTCGCAATTATGTGTTATAAAGTCAGAATTACGAGATGTAAACTCACAATTGTGAGAAAAAAAGTCACACTTCTGTCTTTTTTTCTCAGAATTGCGACTTTATATCACACAATTCTGACTTTATATCTCGCAATTCTGACTTTATAACTCGCAATTGCCACTTTATATCACGCAATTCTGAGAAATAAAGTCAGAATTTTGAGATATAAACTCGCAATTGTGAGAAAAAAAGTCAGAATTGTGAGAAAAAAAAGAGTCAGAATTGTAAGATAAAAAGTCACAATTCTTTATTATATTTTTTATTCAATGGCGGAAACAAGCTTCCATAGATTTTGCAAGCTCTTGGTAGTTTAAAAAAACAAGATATCAATACACTAATTTGATAATATTGCCTATATATATATATATATATATATATATATATATATATATTTATAGAATAAAATATAGTAAACAATTTTAACAATTAAACTGAAAATAAAAAAGTTACCAATGTACAAAAACCAATACATGCAAAAGTGTGCAGTGTTTATTCATGTCACAAGATTAAGTAATAAAAACATTTTCTTGTCGCTACATTTGAACGATTTTTATTATTCAAGTAAATATTTCAGTAATGTTAATCATAATAATTGTAATTATAATCTAAAGATTGCAAGAAATCTCACCCAAATGAACATGAACATTTTTGAGTAAACAACAAAGAACAATAGATTTCCAAAGTATCACTTTTAATTATTAATAGAATTAATACACGCACTATTTTAAGTAGTAAAACAGGAGCAGCAAATTTTAGCTTGTGACACAGATCAGTCATGCGTGTGTGTTCATGACTTCGGCATGTTTAGAGCTGCATATTCAGCGTACTGAAAGAGCAATGAGGGAAACAGTACTTCAGTGGGAGTTGTTGCTGAACCAAAATTAATTTCAAAATCTAAACAATAAGTTTGTTGAAATACAATAAGTCAGCAACATTCTCAATAATGATCAAGACAGAAATAAATTTGAGTTCAAATGATGGTTTGCAATATTTCACCTGTAACTGGTCCTGATGCTCTTCGATAACTCGCGTCTGCTGTAGATCAGAGTTGTGATCGTTCTGCAGACCTTCTGTTTCCAACAAAAAAAACCTTTAATACTCCTAAAAATAAAACATCAAAATCAGATTCAATATTCACCAAAGGTTGTATTATTCTTTCTTAAAATATAAAGTCATATGTCAGTACACAAAACTGCCAAACTAACTGCTCAATAGTCAAAATAAACAATTCTAAACAAAAAAAAACTTTTACACAATAACTAAATTGCCACCTGTCAGTTGAGAGGAGAATTGTATTGATATTTTTTAGAAATTACATGCTTATATTTAATTTTCTAAACTAAAGAAGAGTCACTCACCGATCAGCACAATGAGCAGAAGCCCGTTCATCAGTCCAGATATGATGATAATAATCTGACTTTGTGTCTGATTCTGATCAATAAACTCCCACGCTGTATGATTGTGACATTCGGTTATTTGAGTTGATTTTGAAAAGAAAGTGTTCATAATTACAGTAACAGTCTGGAGCACAACTGCAGTTTTAAACATCTGAATACATCTAGCTTATAATATATTCAAATGTGTGTAATGACCAATGAAAATTAATAATTATGTTGTTCATGTGTAAAAAAAAAAACTGAAGTAGTGAATAAATAAGTCAATCATGGCACTAACTAATCATTATTTATCAATAGAGGAGTAAATGAACTCACCGGTGAAGGTCAGACTGGTGCCGTTGCTGAATTTTGGAGGAGTGTGTGTGTTCATACAGTAATAAACTCCTAATTCATCAACAGTCACATTATTAATAACCAGACGGTGTTTAAATTGCACTGAATATTTCTTTCTGAGTGTTTTTTTAAAGTAATAAGGTTCTGACGTGGATGGTATTAACCATAGAATCACTTTTGGAGGATCTGGTGTTTTCAGCAAAATCCAATAAACCTCATTTTCATCAAGATCACAGTTTATGGTCACATTTGATCCCAGATCAGTGAGTTGATCTGAGACGGCAGTTTGAAAACAGATGAACACACCTGTAAGATAGAAAATACAATAGCATTATAATTAAGATAACTGTATACCTAATGAAACAATTAATGACAAAGCAAATAAATTCATTTAAACTCACAGAGCTGAAGCTGAACGATCTTCATGTTGTCGAGATGAAAACACTTCAGAATGATTCTGCTTCCCTCTACACAACATTAAGATGAATCTACTGCAGCTCTGAAGAAAACACAGGAAGACGAAAAACCGTCCACATCGAACGGAGGAAGTCAAAAACTCTGACCACAACATCTAATGCTCATTATCACTTCTCACAATTATTTTGTGCTTTACTAACCACTGGTTTCATAAGACCAATTCGATAGTGTTAATCATATTAAAGTGACATGTTTGTGTTTGATTAAACTGAGTGACCGCAGAGAAACTTCGACGTCCGGGTGGTGTTCCCCGGGTTTCCAGAGGTCTCTTCCCCTTTCTGTCATTCCCCCAAATCCCTGTCACCACCTATTATTCATTGAACTCTGAGCTGTTCCCCTTCATCAATGACTACGTTTACATGCAATTTTCGGGTTATGGTTGGGTTAAGGTCACTATTCGGGTTTCTGAGACATTAGGAATAACCCGTTTACATGCGTGAGCAGAGAGAGTTTCTCCTGTACACATGGAATTGCAATTTCCCGATGTAACCGGCGACGCGCGGTTAGCGTCTAGACATACAGACAACCTTAAAGGGTTAGTTCACCCAAAAATGAAAATTCTGTCAGTATTTACTCACCCTCATGTTGTTCCAACCCCGTAAGACCTTCGTTCATCTTCGAAACACAAATTAAGATATTTAAGATATTAAGATCGCTCCTGCAAACTAGTCATAGGCTTCTTGAGGGAATGACAATTGCTGTCCTCGAAAAGTCATTAAAGACATCATTAAAATAGTGCAAGTGACTACAGTGGCCCAATCTTAAAGGAGAACTCCGGCGCAAAATGAACCTTTGGTCTAATTACACATTGTTACCTAGTCAACCGTTATCTGAGATTTGTTTTCATGATTGCTGAATGTAAATAGTTTTATCTCTAAAAACAGTTTAGCCTATAACGCTAGTATAATGCTAGTATATAGGGCATAGAGTAATGACAAGTCAAGTCAACTTCGCGAATACAGGAAGAAGCCATCTTTGAAAAATAGTCTCTACCAGTCGATCTACGAACGCCGATCCAAGTGCGCTGAACTGTGCAGAATCTCATATGGTCAGTTGTTTCCGGAAGAAACACAAACACAAACCATTTTCTTCTCTTCAATATGTACGCGTAGCCAACTGTTCGCGCTCACCTTATCACCTTATTCACATCTCACCAGCGCACATGGATCGGTGTTCGTAGATCGACTGGTAGAGACTATTTTTTAAAGATGGCTTCTTCCTGTATTCGCGAAATTTACTGTGTGTATAAAATATCTTCTTATTAAACTGTATGGACACTGACAAAGTTCTCAATGCTTCGGTTTGAATGTAGGGACCCTTATTATGCTGTCGTGTTACTGTGGGGCTATTTTGAGCCTTTTTAGTGGTAATAACAAGCGATTTTTATTTGTCATTACTCTATGCCCCATATACTAGCGTTATAGGCTAAACTGTTTTTAGAGATAAAACTATTTACATTCGGCAATCATAAAAACAAATCTCAGATAACGGTTGACTAGGTAACAATGTGTAATTAGACCAAAGGTTCATTTTGCGTCGGAGTTCTCCTTTAAGTTTATCAAACGACGAGAATACTTTTTGTGCGCAAAAACAAACAAAAATAATGACTTTATTTCAATTATTCATTTCCTTCTCTATGGGCCTGTAGTCAGTTAACGTAGTGTGATAGCGTAGAGCTACGACACACGTAGGCTGACTATTGGCCGACGCTGGTCATGTGTGTGTGATGCGTGTGACGTACAATAACAAAAGCTTACGCTATTAAACTAGTAACCTGACTCGAGGCAGAGAGAGAAATAAACAAATAGTTGAAATAAAGTCATTACTTTTGTTGTTTTTTTGCGCACAAAAAGTGTTCTCGTCGATTGATAAAGTTAAGATTGAGCCACTGTAGTCACTTGGACTATTTTAACGATGTCTTTAATGACTTTTCGAGGCCAGCAATTGTCATTCTATCAAGAAGCCTATGGACTAGTATGCAGGAGCGATCTTAATATCTTAAATATCTTAATTTGTGTTCCGAAGATGAACGAAGGTCTTACGGGGTTGGAACAACATGAGGGTGAGTAAATACTGACAGAATTTTCATTTTTGGGTGAACTAACCCTTTAAGACACAATATGCATCATTTCCGATTCTTCTTCCTGTATCCAAAGACAACAGCAACAGCAGCTTAAGGATTACCTTTCCTGTTCTATAAACAAATACGATTTAAAGTATCTTTAATTTGTAAGCTTGCAGCTAAGATCTTTAACATTTAAGTGACTTGAAATATGAGCATAAGACAGTAATCAATGAATATAATGAATTTAATAAAGGCAGAACTACTTATGCTGTTGCTAACGTTACAGGAATACCAACCCGATCTCACGACCAAGTCGTACGAATTCGACGAATGATTCAAAAGTGGCTAATTCGTAACAATTCATACGACCTCACTCGTACGAATTAATACGATTTTGCTAAATCGTACATATTTTACGAATTGGCCAATTCGTATGAATTCGCACGAATGACCTACCCCTTACCCCGCCCCTAAACCTAACCATCACGTGGGTTTAGACAAATCGTACGAATTAGTACGAGTGAGGTTGTACGAATTAGCCACTTTTTAATCATGCGTCGAATTCGTACGAATTGGTCGTGAGATAGTGTTGCGAATACTTGTATTTACAGACAATAACACAAACGACAAAAACAAAGAGAGGAGTTTTCAAAGTGAAAGAGTGTGTGTGAGAGAGAGAGAGAGAGAGAGAGAGAGAGAGAGAGAGAGAGAGAGAGAGAGAGAGAGCAAATTCACCTTGACAGTGTAAACCTTCTGAATCAACAACACGGAAAACAGAATCTTAAATGCTTTAAGGAAGATACTTGCAAAGGTATTTTGGTTCTCTGTTTTGCTGTGTTGCTTGAACGGCCTTTCGTGGTTTGGTTTTCGTGTGAGCTTTTTTTTTGACAAATTGTTTCAGGTTTCATTGGTTCTTTTTAAGTTGTTTTGAGCTGTTAAATTCCTTCTATTGGCATCCCATTATTCTTATACATAATGCATACCAGAAAAGGATCCTGAAACACTGAAACAGGAACATTGTTTTTTTTTTATGTATTTATGATTACATAAATCATGTTTATGTTAATATATGAACTGCTCATCATTCACTGATTCATTAATTCTTGATATCATATCATTTAATTTCTTTTTTTTCTGTGTCCATACAAGACAAAACAAAACAGATACATGTGTTGCTCATGGTTGAGATTTGACAGAACACAACTACACTAAACACACTCCACAAATGAGTAGTGTCATTTGCATCATGTGCACGACTCCAGCAGATTGTTCATTTACATATTTCCCGACACCAGTTTAACCTTGTTTAATAAATATATATACAGTCTTTAAGACTTGTATGCACCTTTACTTAATCACATTTGAAAAGCTTTTTGAGACCAGTTACTATTGAAGCGTTACAGCAGTTTCCCCACATCAAACACAAAGTGTAACTCATGTTAAAAACACATCAATGTGAAAATACACAACAGGCATGTCCTTGTGTATTTAATGTGAACAAAAAAAAAGTCTCTATATGTAATGTTAACAACCATATTTTAATTCACAAATAGTGAATATAACAGGAAATTCCTGTCTCAAATGCAAATCTTCTTCCGGGTTTTATGAAAACAATGCAAATATTTAAGACATGCATATCCTGCTTAATTAAAGTCACAAATGTGCTCTTGTATGCAGCAAATGTACATAGGCTACAATATTGTAGAAAAATAATATTTGAAGACAAATATTGTAGTACATTGTAATAATGTGGAATAATAAGTGTATTAAGCAAAACAAATATGTGTGTGCTTGATAAAAACAAGCAATTCATTCCACAAACCTACAAATGAAAAGTCAAATTCATGAAGTAAAAAAAAACAGGCTGTATGCCAGTTTTTTTTTCTTTTTTCCAGTTCTTGCTCTTTGGTTTCGGCACACAAATATTGGTGTTACTGGACATTCTGCATTCATTTCAAGTTTTTTTTACACACTTACCTTTGTCGTGTCTGACAACTTTTTTTTTCCCGGTTCCTGGAAATACGTCACCTGCCGACAAACGCTGCCTTGCAGGTAATCTTGAAGTTCAAGACAGTGTTTGCAAGATTTAGGGTCGGTTCACATATCGCGTCTTTTGCGCGCTCAAGTTCGTTATTTCAAATGTAGGCGCGCGGTATTCGCGCTCATTATGGAAGCGATGCGGTCGCGGTGAGACGCGCTCGTTTTTTCCATGCGCGTCCGCGCCGCTTCGAGATAAAAACATCTCAACTTTTCAGAATACCGTAAGCGCACCATACGCACACAATAGGTCATGTGACAAGAACCAACTGAAGCGCAACCGTCCTGGTGCTTTGGAGAATGCGGCGCGCCCAGCGTTTAGGCGCTAAATGTGAATCCGGCCTTATATAGCACTTTTTCTGGGATCTACAAGTGCTTTACATATGGAAGGGGGAAATCTCCTCAACCACCACCAATGTGCAGCATCCACATGGATGATGCGACGGCAGCCATATTGCGCCAGAACGTCCACCACACACCATCTTAAAGGGTTAGTTCACCCAAAAATGAAAATTAAGTCATTAATTACTCACCCCCATGCTGTTCCAACCCCGTAAGACCTTCGTTCATCTTCGGAACACAAATAAAGATATTTTTGATTGAATCTGAGAGCTGGATCAGTCCTAGATAGACTGCCTAAGGGACTGGCTCTTGACGGCCCATAAAGTCATTAAAGAAAAGGTTTAAATATTCCATGTGCCTACAGCGGCTCAATTATAAGTTTATCAAGCGACGAGACTACTTTTTGTGCGAAAAAAACATAAATAACGACTTTATTCCACTATTCCACTACTTCCTTATGGGCGCATGCGCGAGAACTGAGACGAGGACGTTCTCATTCGTCTACTTCTTGTTACCGGCTGCTCACCGCAGGAGTTTTACCGCCCCCTACCGTATAAAATGATGTGCTGATATAGCTG